GGGGAGACCTGATAGCCCCTTCCAGTACCTGAAGGGGCCTACAAGGAAGCTGGGGTGGGGGGACTTTTTACAAGGGAGTGTAGTGACAGGACAAGGGGTAATGCTTCAAACAGAAAGTGGGGAGATTGAGATTAGATATCAGGAAAAAATTCTTCACAGAGAAGGTGATGAAGCACAGGTTGCCCAGAGAAGCAGTGGATGCCCCCTCCCTGGAAGTGTTCAAGGCCAGGCTGGATGAGGCTTGGAGCAACCTGGTCTAGTGGAAGGTGTCCCTGCCCATGGCAGGGGGGTTGGAACTAGATGGTCTTTAAGGGCCCTTCCAACCCAAACGATTCTATGATTTTCATACTTTGCTGAATTCCAATTTGTAAATCAAAAGAATTAATATTTTGTGTCATTTCAGGCAAGACTACAGAGAGGACACTTACTGCTCAAGCAGGGAAAATTTGATGAAGCAGAGGATGACTTTAAAAATGTGGTAAGTTGGAATCCAAAGTTGAACTCTATCACTGCATTTAAGGTTGGGTTCTGAGCCAAGGGCTTCTCTCAGCTCTGATGCCCTAGGGCATGTGTGTGTGTATACCTGAGTTTCCTTCCTCTTCTTTAAAGGTATTGTAGCTAGGCTACCTTGTATGACTAAATGACTGGTAAGGTTGCATAGCAGTGATGCAGATGAAATCAGAAGGTGTTGCATGAAGTACCACGGTACTTGGCACTTTATGATCTCTGCTTGATGATGCCTATACTAGGGAGCAATCTTCGTGCAGAATGAAAGCGTGAGTGAGGTGGGACTCGCTGTACGCCATTGAACCCTGTTTTACATTGCTATGTGATGTAAAAACCTAAACCATTCTATGATTCTATATTCGGGTCACCCTGGGAAATCACTAAGACCCTCATGGATCAGCCTTTGAAGGTTCCTATCTTTTTTCACTGATGGCAGAAGGATCCTGGGCTCTTAATTTAATCACTCGGCTGTTAAAATCAGTGGTTCAGTGGCACACATCTGCATGTCCTCTGATCGGCAGAAGAGTTCTCCATCTTTCATGAATGCATTGACAATACTTTCCACCATCAGGAAGTTCCCAGTTTACATACACACACACGATTGAATATCACCACCTAAAACTCACTGGGGTTGTTTTTTTTCTTTCATCGGGTATTTTGTGCGTTTCGGCCCTATGCTGCAAAAATGAACTGATTTAACCCCAGAACAAAATTCCACAGAGCATGATGTGAAACTCAATCCCCTCTGTTATACAAAATTTCTTGAAGTGTGAGAATAAGATTCATTCTTATTCTTGCTTACTCAGGAGCTGGTAGTTTGAACAGTCTGCGTGTCCCTTACGCCAAAATAAATAGAATTTGCAAGTGTAAGTGATGCTCTTGTTGGTTTTCTTTGAAGAGTGTGATGGAGAAAGCAGCTGTGTGTTTCAGATGACAGAAATAGCCTGAATTTATTAGAAATGTTACTGGTGAGTATGTATGACAAAGCCAGAGCAGTTACACTGTACTCTCTGCAGGGCAGTTGGGAGGAAACTGCTCTTGCAGGTATAAATGCACCAGGCAGTCTCTGTGTTTGTAGCAGAGGTACAATAGCTTATTGTGAAATTCACGTAGCGATGGCTCCCCTGGCTGCTGCTGCTTCCTCAGTAAGTTTTAGAAGCGTGTGGTCTGCAGCTGCACGTCTGATTGCAGTGCAGCACTGCTGTTTGCAAGCGTGGGAGAGTGTCGTTCAGCTCTGATTAACTGAAGACGTAGTTGCTGCAATAGCAATTACGTGATGTCAGTGTTGATTCTGAGTTTGTGTATGCATCTCTTTGCAGTTACTGCTTCTATTGCTTAATAACTGCATATGGAAATGCTTCTTCGGCCAACTGTCAAGTAGCTTGCCTTTTTTTTTCCAAACCAGCTGCAAAAATTTACACTGCTTCCTTTGGTCGGTCAGGTAGTTTCAGTCTTCAGTCAAGTTTTAAATCTGAAGTAGAAAAGAGTTTCTTCTCAGAAGCTGACTTGGTCTGTCGTGGTTTAGCCACAGTCAGCAACCAAGTACCACGCAGCTGCTTGCTCACCTCCCCTTTTCTCTCGTGGGATGGGGGAGAGGATTGGAGGAAAAAAATAAGAGAACTCGTGGGTTGAGATAAGAAGAGTTTAATAATTGAAAAGAAATAAAATAATATACTACTAATAATAGGTAATGAAAATACTACTACTACTAGTGATAGTATGTAATGGACAAAGGAAAAAATATTAAAAAAAAAAAATATACAGACATTCACCAACCAACGCCCAGCAAGTCCCTGAGCAGTGGTTGCCTCTCCCAGCCAACTCCCCCAACTTACATACCAAGCATGGTGTCTGTTGTCATGGCATGTCCCTGTGGTCAGTTTGGTCAGCAGTCCTGGCTGTGTCCCCTCCCACCTTCTTGTAGAGAAGAAGCTGGGAACACAGGGGGCAGTATGAGAAACTGAAAAAGTCCTTAGTGTAATATAAACATTGCCTGGCAACATAAACATCAATATGTTATCAACATTCTACTCAGCACAAATTCGAAACACAGCATCATACTAGCTATTGTGGAAAAAAATGAACTCTGTCCCAGCCCAAACCAGCATGTGGTCCTAAATCTTAGTTCCAGTTTCCTTGGTTGTGTGAACAATATTGCCTGTGCACTTAGAGAATATGGCAAGCAGCCTCTTCCGAAGAGCACGGTTTTCCGTTAAGTACGGTATATTCAAACAAAATAAGCCAATAGTAAAGTAATCCTTTGTAATAAGGATACTTAATCCCTTCCCCCCTATGAATTAATTAACTTACATCGCACGATTCTTAAGGAGAATACATACATATCTTATATACATATACCTGGTTTTCTTCTAAATCTTGTGGCTAGTCAGATTATTCTCCCAGCTCTCTGGCAGTATGTCTGCATCTAAATATGAAATTGCATTTAATCTCAAGAGGAAGTCAGTCAAGATAGTGTGAAATGTATTAACATTCTGTATTTCTTACTGTTTTTTTGTTTTGTTTTGTGGTGTTGGTTTTTTTTTTTGCATATGAGAGGAGGGGAGAGACAGAGGAAGGCTGTTAGCGATCGAATATCTTTCAAAATGATTTCAAGACCTGTACATCCAGACTCTCTCTTTGAGACAGGGGAAAGGTAAATAGTAGCCCCTGGGAAGCTTTGATTCATATTGCAAATCAGTTGTCAATAAGTCAGAAGGAATAAGGTGTACCTTGAAATGAAAGTTTCTTCTGCTGCTAGGGCAGATACGACCCAAAGAAATGCCAGTGGGATCTCAGTAGTTTCTAGGCTAGAATTTAGTTGTGAGCTTGGATAACTGAAATCGTGTGTTTACACATGAGCAGGGTATGTAATCTGTGATGCTGCTCATTAGCTGAGTAAACATAGGTCAGGATATGAACAGCCCTCTAGCCTCTTGCTTTGTTGGCTGGCTATTAGCTGACTAGAATGCTGTCGTTCTGGGTAAGCCTGTGGTACATCAGTGACCTTCGGTGTCCTAAGCTGGACCAGAGTTGGAGAAAAACTTTGGCCGTCCTGCCTTGGTCGTACCTCAGCTGTAAATCTGCAGTCACTGTAAATCAGGAGGCGTGCAGCAAGCCTGCTCATGTGTGTGAGTCTGCAGAAGCTGTGTATCATGGAAAGATGGGGTGGAAGTGCTGTGTTTAAAAACCAAAACAAACCCTCACCTCGGGAGAAGAATAATCCACTTCCTTTGCTGTGCAGGGTTTCAGGATGTTACCTAGAATAGGTGGTCCTGTGCTTACGTGCAAGTCCTGACAGCCCTTTGTATGTGCCTTTTAATATCACTGTGGCCCTGCTTGGGTCAAAACGACAAGCATTTAAGCTGCTGAGTTCTGAAGAAGGCACAAAAGTAGAACTTTGGCTTAGTCTGTTGGAAAGTGTGGAAAGAACCAAATGGTCATATTTCTTTTAAATTATCTCTCTTCTGGTTTTTAAGGCCAACTGTAATGTTCACAGTTGTACTTTGTGGCAATAAATATTGTAAATTGAGGCGTCTAAATACATGATTCTGTCTCCCTTGGAAGCATGAACACTTAGCTGGGAAGTGGAGGTGTTCCCAGCGCCAGCAGATGTCAGCCGAGGCCAAGGGACTGAGCGCTATACATCTGCACATACTGGCTCTCTCATCCAGAGAGGCCCTCGGCGGTTGCAAAACGCACTGGGCAATAGTTTCCCGTGGTTGGTTGGTAGAATGCTGTTGTGGCTGTAGGTGGAGGAGACCATCTGTGGTGCTGTGAGCTAACCTGATTTCAGTTACTAGGAGAGCCTGCCTTGGGTGTTTGAAGGTCTCTTAACCAGATCAAAATAACATTAGGATGTTTCCCAGTACATTCCTCTGTGGTACTCTGATCATCTGTAGCTTCCTGGGTAAAGAATAAAAGGTCCTTAAGTATTTCCTTGCTTTTTTCATAGAATCACAGAATCCTGGAATGGTTTGGGTTAGAAGGGACCTTAAAGACCATCTAGTTCCAACCCCCCTGCCATGGGCAGGGACACCTTCCACTAGACCAGGTTGCTCAAAGCCTCATCCAGCCTGGCCTTGAACACTTCCAGGGATGGGGCATCCACAGCTTCTCTGGGCAACCTCTTCCAGTGCCTCACCACCCCCTCTGGGAAGAACTTCTTCCTGATATCCAATCTAAACCTCCCCACTTTCAATTTAACCCCCTTACCCCTTGTCCTGTCACTACAGGCCCTTGTAAAAAGTCCCCCCCAGCTTCCTTGTAGCTCCTTCAGGTACTGGAAGGTGCTATAAGGTCTCCCCGGAGCCTTCTCTTCTCCAGGCTGAACAAGCCCAACTCTCTCAGCCTTTCATCATAGGAGTATAAAATGTAACCCCTTCTACTCGCTCCGAGAGAGGGGGCTGAGAAATGAGAGTCTTTGTGGACAAAACTTTAGGCTGGTTTAAAGCGAGGTAGGAAGCACAGCACATAAAATCCCAGGTGATCCCAGTTAAGCCTTTCCGCGTCTGTGGCATCTTAACTTGCTGCTGTTGCCCCTCTTTCAGGGGAAAACGTGAAAAACACAATTACTGCAAAACTGTATCTGGGACGTCTTGCTTTTGTCATGAATTTATAAATGCCTACTGTGCCTAATGTGAGAGGTGGGACGATGCTACGTGGGTGAGCTTTCCACTGAGGCTGGGGAATCGGGTGTTTAATAACTGTCTGCAGAGAGAGGAATTCACAAGGCTGCAAATGAGAGGTCCATGACTTCAGCAGGCGACATGGGGATGGTGACTGTTGTGTATGATGCGTCCCATGGTAAATAATCAAGCATGGGGGGATGTGTGTGTGGAATTAGATTTCTCTGACTTCTGACAACTTATGCTGAAGCTAAAAATGTCTTTCTGAAGTTTCGAGTTGGAAACACTTCCAGTGGAATTTTAAAACTACTTTTGCTTAATTTGCAGCTTTAGTCAATTCTCCATGATGGGACAAAAAAGAGGTCCTTGAACAAGCTTCTCATTCTCTCTCCTTGTTAATGTTTGCAGCTCAAATCCAACCCTAGTAATAATGAGGAAAAAGAAGCCCAGACTCAGCTGACAAAATCTGATGAGCTACAGCGCCTGCATTCACAAGCGTTGTCTGCCTACCAGCAAGAGGATTACGAAGCTGCTATTTCTCTTCTTGATGAAATCTTGGCAGTAAGTGTTAAGTAAAATGGTACTGTGAAAGGGAAGTAAGAACTCCTGTCTGACATCTGTGTATTTTTGTTTAATAACTTCTGCACTGGTGTGAAACACATGGTGTAATTGGCTCAGTTTTGCTGAGCACCGTGAGTCCATAATGATTCATAGAATCACGGAATGGTTTGGGTTGGAAGGGACCTTAAAGACCATCTAGTTCCAACCCCCCTGCCATGGGCAGGGACACCTTCCACTAGACCAGGTTGCTCAAAGCCTCATCCAGCCTGGCCTTGAACACTTCCAGGGATGGGGCATCCACAGCTTCTCGGGGCAACCTGTTCCAGTGCCTCACCACTCTCCGGGAAGAATTTCTTCCTGATGTCCAATCTAACCCTCCCCGCTTTCAATTTAAACCCCTTCCCCTTGTCCTGTCACTACAGGCCCTTGTGAAAAGTCCCCCCCAGCTTCCTTGTAGCCCCTTCAGGTACTGGAAGGTGCTATAAGGTCTCCCCGGAGCCTTCTCTTCTCCAGGCTGAACAAGCCCAACTCTCTCCGCCTGTCCCCATAGCAGAGGGGCTCCAGCCCTCTGAGCATCTTCATGGCCTCCTCTGGACTCGCTCCAAGTTGTGGTAGAGCAGAGAACGCTGAGCACTAGCTGCAAAAAAGTCAAACTAATAGCTTGTAGTTCGGGTTAGAGATGCAACTTCAGCCAAATTTCTGTTACAGATAACTTCATTGGTTATGCTTTCCCATTTTTCCGCAGTTCACTATTTTTGGGGAAGCTGGGAAAAAGGTTGTTCTCGGACCAACGAAGTTTTGCCAGATACAGGAGGTGTAGGTCTTTTCATCTAAATTTTTCATTGCCTGTATGCAGGCAATTTTTGTCTTGAGAAAATTAAATAACAAAAGATGAAAAATACCACCAAGTTATACCTATCTGAATTTTTAGCTTGTTCTTAGATACCTGTATCTGTTGAATCCTAATCAGCATAGGTAATCTGATAGTGTGAGTGTAAGTAACTCGGGCATGGGCATTTTGTGTGTCGTGCCGGAATCTCTATACTTCAGTGAACTTCAGACCGTTAACTGCTGTGTCTCTTCACATGCAATTTAACACTGATGGCTTGGAATTTACAACATTCCAGCTTTTGGTGAGGAAGCTGCCCAGTTGTGGGAGTTTATGGAGAGGGAACATGGAAAAGCTGAAAAGCCTCGGTTTCTAAAATGATGGTTTACAAACAAATGATAAGACCCAGAATAAATTCTCTGAAATGAGTTATGATAAGCAGTTCCTTCTAAGTAATTATTCCTGTCATACTGTGACATCATTACTTCTGTATATATCTTTAAATTCCGGACACTAAGGTCAAATCTTGCATAGCTGAATCTTACCCACAGGCTTTTTTCTAGAGGAGAGCTGACAGCTCTGTCCTTGCTGTTCATTACCCCTATTCTTTTGGGGAGATAAAAGAATTTATGATTCTGATATCTTTCCCTGGAGGCTCAACAGACTGTCCCAGCTTAAGCAGTGCCAGTAGATTTAATTCATCTCCCTGCATGAGCTTATTGAATCACTTCCCAGTTTTTCAGGCCTTTGTTTTCTGTTCGGGCAGGTGCATCCCAGCATCCACCAGGAAGCAGAGATGCTAATTTCATGTGCTCTGCATGCAGCTTGAACCTTATGCTATGGCACTTGGCAAAGTAGGAATTAAATGGGATTTTTTTTCTGTTGTTGGGGAGAAGAAGGAGCGAAGTGTTATGGACCAAAACCAAGCTTTAATTTTGATTTCTCAAGGTTTGTGTTTGGGATGCAGAGCTACGGGAACTTCGAGCAGAGTGTTATATAAAGGAAGGGGAACCGAGCAAAGCCATCAGTGACTTGAAAGCTGCTGCCAAATTAAAGAACGATAACACCGAAGCCTTCTATAAAATCAGCAGGATATATTTTCAGCTGGGGGACCATGAATTATCACTCAGGTAATTTTACTGTTTGCTGTCATCATTACAGTGGAGACAGAAAATGTCACGATAAACTGTGAAATATCTGTGTTGTCTGGTGTTTGGATGGAGTAGCAGCTCTGGTCTGGATTTGATAAAGGAAGTGTGATTCCAGAAGCTAAGAACTGGCGCACAACCACCACGTTTATTCTTGCTAGGAAGCATCGATGGCTGCTCTGCCACCCTGTTTGCCTAAACGGGAGCCGTAGTGCAGGTCTGTCAGCGTTGCCTAGCTTTACTGTTTTTACTGTATTTCTCCATCCTGGAAGAAAGTTCTTCTCTAAACTTGCTCTGCTGGGGACTTCTTTTAACCTTGGACCCCCACGGAAGGTTACAACGCAAACAAAAAATGTTTGAATTAAGTCTTAGGGCTGGATTTTTATTTTCAAGAGTGGAAACAAAAAGTTGCAATCTTAAGAATAAATGAAAAATACCAGAGCATCCAGGTATGAGGAACTGGAGATGCAGAGCTGTCCATCTTTCATCCTTGCAGTCAGTGTCCAGTAATTTGAATGATTTGGTTTTTTGTAATGCCCTATCGTTTTATTCATATCCAGTTGAGTTTGAGGTGTTATTCCTATATATCCCCAGGCAGTGCTGCAGATAACTGCCCTTGTCCAGTCTGGGCTCTGAAGTTCACATGCTGTGCTTAGCTGGGCAGATGCCATAATCCTCCCTTCTGTGCAGCTCATTGTCTCAGATGCCCTACCTTCATCTCCAAACTCCTTCTGACACGGTTTCTGCCACAGAATCTCCTCAGTAAGAAGAGAAGGGAACTGAAAAAGTCTGCATTTTCTTGGCTGGTGGTTGGAAACTGCTTGTAATTGCAAAAATGCATTTTACATCTGCGCAAAAGTAAACACCAGACAACTAATAGGTTGCATTAGGGATCTCCTTTCTGGAGTATATATTTAATCTCTGGAGCTCATGGGTTACTTCTGTGGTGTCTTTTGGTAGCTGGCTGTCACTTAGGCTAGAGATCTCAAGAGTAGGTGCGGGGTTTTTTCCTCCAAAATCCACACGTGGACTTCCATTGTTAATAACAAAATCTTAAGATTTTTAATGAATGCAATTGAGAGAGCTCCTTAAGAACAGAATGGTATCAGAATGAGGGGATAAGCTTCTCTTCTTTATTCTTCTCTGCTACTATTCTGTTGCATCATAAAATGTACTAAAGATTTCTATAGCTCTTGAACTTGTGGGTGATGAATTGTGTCCTTCCGTTAATTTCTTTGTCTTACCTCTACAGGCTTAGTCATTTTCAAATAATTGATATTTTTGCCTGTGCTTAGGAACAAAGTAAGGTTTTCTGATCTCTCTCTGCAAATGACACCTTGGTTGTGCTGTGATGACTCTCTGTGATACATAACTTTTATTCCTTCATATGATTGCGTTCTGGAGGCTTTTTGAGAGCCTTCTGACTAATTTAAGAAGTATCTGCCCTAATTAGAGTCTGACTAAACAGGCTTCACAGTGAAAATTCAGGCTCAGGCTTGGCTGATACTCAGTTAAGAGGAGGTTTGGATCTTAGCTGGGTGTTGTCTTTTGCAGGTAGCATAAAATATACTTCTACATAGGAATATGGTAATTTAGCCAAGTTAAATATGTAGAATATGTATCAGATACAGACAATCGTATCTGACAGCTGCTGAATAGAATTTCTTTCCCAGGGTATGTTTTTCTACTGCTGTTTAGTCAATTATTAATGTAACACTTCTCAGTCTTTGCGTATTTGGCATTGTAAAATATTTAAAACCCAAACCAGCCAAATATCCCTGTATGTCCTGGAAGACTTTTTTTGTGTGTCTTTTAATTTTTTGATGATGGGAGAGATTGTGTGAAGAAGTTAACTGTTGTTCTGGACAGCTTATAGATGCTGCCTTGTCCCTCCGGGTGAAATTTCATAACGTGTGGTGATGTTTGCTTTTGGGGTTTTTCTTCCCCCC